GCGGGAGCGCTGCCGCACTCCCAAGCGGCGCACTGTAGCAGTGCGCCACCGGGCCGGCCCCCAAAATGTATTTTTATAAAACATTAAGCAACAGGAAAAAGAAAAAATTCTGTGAGCAATCCAACTAATATACAAAGGGTATAAATCAGCCCTTCAGACTTGTCCAGTGATGTAAAAGTCCAAAGACCTGGGACAACTACAAGACTCTTAGAGGGAAAAGAATGTCTGGTCAAATTTTTGTTCTTGTGGTAAATCAGCAGAAAAATCTATCCAGAGCTTTGGGATCTCTGCAAAATGAATAATAATCTACCTTTACTCCAAACATGACTTGAAATAAAGGCAGATCTCAAACTGAGGTCTGGCTTTTTAAAGCTATACTTAAATGAGTTTACTCAACAGTTAAAACTGCCTGTGAGTACTGTAAGTTAATTAGAATGACCTCATAGATTGTTGTGACATTAATATGTGTCTTCAGTGAAATGAGCAGGAGAAATCTGCAGGTTGCAATATTAATTTCAGAAAAAAATTAAGGTGAAAAAGTACTGAGAGTCCTTATACAATGATAAAATCACAGTGAGTAATAGAAAACCGGAGTGAACGTATAAACCACAGAAAGGGGGAAAAATAGGATACACAAAACAAGAGCCATTAAAAATGTATGGATAAACTAACATAAATGTAATAATAGTACAAGATTATTTCATCCCCATTGAGCAGACACAAATGAAGACAAGTAGATCTGAAAAACATAAATGTGGTAAAAATTTATAGCATGGCAGTCATAAACAAGTTAATGGAGAATTGATTCTTTTTCCAAGTATCCATTTTTAAAATCTTAAAAAATGTATTTAAAGAGGTGAACATCTTTATGCTCCTGTACTGAGATACAGCATACCTGGCGTCTGCCCTGCCACCGCAGTCCCTGTTGCTTAGCTGGCCATATTTCTGCATCCCCATATGCTCTCCTTCTCACATAAGGACACTTACCCCAAAGACAACTAATCCATAGCCATGAACCTATATCCTGGTAAGAAAAAATCTGTAACAAATAAGACTTCTTGGGAAATTGAACTGAAAACAAGGAAATCCTTGCACAGT